GCCTGACGGCGCCCTGTGTCCGCAGGAGATCCGGAAGGTGGTGCAGGCGCTGGAGCAGACGGCCCGGGAGATCCTGACGCTGCTGCAGGGCGTGCACCAGGGAGCCGGCTTCCAGGACAGTGAGTCCCGCACGGCCGCCTGCACCCGGCGGTAGCGCCGCGCTCCGCCGTCCCCGGGGGAGCGGGGAGAAGCCGGTGGGGCGGGGAGCACCCCCAGGGTACGCGGGTCCCTCCCTCGCGAGCGCCCCTCTTCCGTGGGCGCTCCTGCGGTGTCCTGTCCTGTCCTGTCCTGCTCTGCGTGGGCTTCTGAGAGGCTGCGGGGGCAGCTGGGAGGTTTCGAGCCGGACGGGCAGAAAAGCTGCCGTTCGCCCTGAGGAAGCGCCGTCCCTCCCCTTTCTCCCCTCCCCGGCTCGGCGCTCCCCCGCCCCAGCGCAGAAGAGCGTGTGCTGCTTTCCGGGTTGCTGAATTGGATCGTAGGTTTCCCTCTAAGTGACACGCACAATGGTTTTACCGTCACCTGTTGGGCCTTTGTCTCTGTATCCCCTTCCTCATCTCTTCATCCCACCCCCCAGAAAACCGTGATCCTGAACTCTCCGGGGGTGTTCAGGATGGTGTGGGAACGCGGGGCGGGGGTCTTTAGTCAGGTCTGTATGAGACCAGCTCTGTGTGCGCGCACATATAAAATGTGCTTAATGTTGCAAAATACAAAGGGGATTTGGAAAGGCTGATAAAGCAGGAGCTGTCCTTGATGCGTGCTTGAGTGGCAACTGGAATTGTTCTGCTATTTTTGAGGTTTGGGTTGTAGCTAGCCTGGTTCCTTGCTTTCAGTCCAGATTTAAGATGCTTGACAGAATGTTCCTGGGCCAACCCATTTGCTCCAGGGCATGAGAACAGGACTATGGACCTAGATGTCAAATGTGCTCTTTCTGCTCCCCCATCCCCATTTTTTCAACTTACTGGTGAAACTACTGGAGTAAACAGGGTTTGGGTTTTTTTTTTCCCTTAAATATGTGCCTTTTTTTTCAAGTCAATTAATATCTCCTGAGAAGAAGCAACTATTCTGACTTTCCTGGAAGCTCTGGAGAGGAATTTGGTAAGGGAAGAAACCTGTCAGGCCACTATCTAAGGGTGAATAGAAGACTAAACCTCACCAGGTGCTGTTTTATTCACCTGCAGAGCTGACTGGTTGTAACCAGCCTGGTGACATTCACCAGCACACTCGTGCTGGAGGCCTGGGATCCCTCTGGCCTCTGACAGGGTACATGTTTAGCAATGTGCAACACCTGAGGTTTGACCTCTGCTGGCAAGTGCAACTTCTACCTACTTAGGAAATGTGGCAGTGCTAAAAATCAGGACTGCTAATTAGTTAATTTACACAAGCATACACTCATTTTCTAAGCTGAGTAAACCTGTGGATGTTGTGACAGTTGTTTTGTGTGGGTATCGACTTCAGGAGTTGCTTTCCAGCATTTAATAGTAGAGACCTGTGTCTGGCTTGGTGTGTTTTCACTTGATTTTTAATTCCAGGAGACAGCTGGTCCTGGAACTTGCAGAGTCTGAGAAGAGATTTGGAATAGTTAAAGTTAATAAATAAATAAATAAATCAGCTTATAATTCTTGTAATACCAAAGATAATGAATACATGCTTAATAGGTTAGGAGTTAACTCATGATAATAGACCTGTCAGTTTGTCATCAGTTACAAGCATAATAAAGTCAGTCAATAAATGTTTAGATTAATAAAGGTTTACAGCAGAATAATATAATGCCAATTAACGGAAGGATTGTTAGGGGGATAAGTAGCACTTGTCAGATGTCACGTATTTAGACTACAGTTTTATTTGATAATGATTGTAGTTTGGCAGTGTAGTGAGCTTAAATGGCTTACTACAGCATCTCACCATTTGAGTTGTTACCGCATTTTTACTAAGAAACTAGAATGATTCTTCTTTTGTAGATTAAAGAGGGATAAAAGATGACTCTTGTAACTGTGAAAGAGAGGATTATTCATTGCAACAGAGTTCTGGCTAGACTTTGTAGCATCAAGATTTTTTAGCCTTATATTTATTTACTCCAAGATGTAAGAAAAACTATTAACACTATTAATAAACTACATTGAACTATAAAAATAATAAATCATAAATAAACTAGTAACTAATTAAAAAAGCAGAAATACTATTAATTATGGCAAGTTCACAGGTGACAGAGTAACTAATGATGCTCAGTGACCGCAGCTGTATTGCTGAGGATGGTTTAAGCTGGTGCTGCTGCCAGCAGAAGCTGCATTGCTTGTTGTACCCCCCTCCCTTGTGCCAGCCTGAGTGGGAGAAGACTGACTTTCTCCTGCAGCCTGCTGGTTGATCCTTTGTAATTATTCTTGCATCATCAGTTGAGGTACAGTGATGAAAACTCAAGGAGACAACAGAGAGCCAGTGGAAACGGGGAAAGGATTTGCACCAGGCTGAGCAATCTGTTGTACCAAAGAGAAGGGTCAGGGTTCTCTGGGGACTTAAAATACCTCTTGGCTAAACTTGTTGTCATTGAGTTTTTCATCTAACCGCTTTTACTGTGGGGCAGCCAGCTACCCACAGACAACAGCTGTTTCACGGTGCCGGCTTCTCTGTGGTCTCTCCCTGCACGGAGCCACGAGACTGCGTTTAGCTGTGGGATAAGCGCTTTCGGTTGTAGCCTTTATTCAGCAGTGGGGAAGGGAAGGAAAACCAGCAGAGCCTCAGGCCAGCAGCCTCCAGAACAGGTTTAGAAGGTCTCTCTTTCAGCTCCCTCTGCTCCCTGTTCAAAATGGAGTTTGAGAACTGCTCAGAAAGCTGTTCAGGGCAGCGTGTGCTGCAGCCTGCACTGCAGCCTGCTGTTAGCTGACACGAGTCTGAGTGACAGGTAGGGTCTTCGGAGGCTGAAAGTCAATTTAGTATGTCTTTGCTCATGAAATATGTTGTGTTAAGTTTAGCAAAACATCAGTGGTGATATGCAAGGATGCACGAGCATAGTTTGAAGTTGGGGGGAGGTTATGTGTGTATTGTTGGGTGCTGTTGTCTGAAATGATACAGTAAAGATTGTTCATTTTTGTCACAGGTTCCTTTGGCAGAAGCCAAAATGCAAGTCTGTGCCTTACTCTGTCCCCAGCTGCCACATGACAGCTTACACAACTGAGGCAGAGACTGTAGTTTGAGGATGGTGTTGAAAGGGCAGCTGTCAGTGAGCTTCACACATTTCCTTCATTCTGGCTGCCACACAGAGCACTTTCACCTTCTGCTTCTGGAAGCGTTTATTTTTAAGTGCTCCTTTTTTTTTTTTTGTACATGGAATTAATGTTTTATTAATTGAAAGTAGCTTTTAAACACACTGAAGTGACTAGTGGGGCTTGTTTGATAAAAATCATTCATTGTAGCTTTCAGATTTAGCTTCTATGGATTTTGTATAGAAGTTAGGATTGTTTAAACATCATGATGCAGGAGGGCCTGTCAGGTCGTGACCAGGGTTGCTGAGAAGGCTGCAGTTAAGAAGTACGGGTTTGATTAGTTCTGTCAGACCCTGGTACTGTGGGTGCAGCGTGGTTGTAAGTCGTATCAATAAACGGGAGGTGGCAGTGGGTGGTACGTGAACAAGAGACCATATATCTGCAGAGGTGTAACATATTGGACAGTTTCTTCAAATAATCACTTGAAAGCAGGAAATGCAGTTTCCTGAAAGGATGTTGCACCTCATCTAACCTAACTCTGATTGATAAGAAAAAATATTATAAGATTTTAAAATGGAGAAAGAAAAGTTGCTTTTACTTTGATTGTACGAGTCGTTTGGCGGCACTGCTTGGTGTGTGTGCTTTCTTTGGGGCCAACTGTGTGCAGTATGCTTCTGTTGCGTGTGATCCAGTTGTTGCTGGTTTTCTAAACCACTGCACTGGGGTGCTCTACAGAACATCATATTTCTCTCTTTACAACACCTGTACAACCCAACTAGATGGCCCCTTTCTCTTAATCTGTCCACACAGCTAAAACTAAAAATGTCCTGTTACCAGCTCACGCCTGATCTCTGCTGCGTCCCTCCTCCTGCAGTGCCACTCCAGAGTGCTGCTGCATGGGTGAGCTTGTAGCATCGGGCTTTAACTGTGTCACTGCTCCTGCTGGCTCCCTCCCTTGCCCCCGGGATCTGTTGCCATAGTCTCAGCTCTTCTACATTTACAGACCCTCAGATGAAATTGCCCCTCTGCTACCTCAGATGAGGTCTTACATTCAACACCTTTTTCAGCCTTTCTCCATTTCTACTTGTCATCTCTCCTTCAGCATTGCTTGTTTGTCGCCCTGCTCAGCGTGTCGCCAGGCTCTTTTGCTTGTTGGTTCATTCCACAGACAAACACCACATCAACTCTGTGTTCCTCTGTTCCTGCCTCCATCCGTTTGTATCCCCCATTGCCTCTTGGTCTGTAGGTTGTGTGACCTTTCCAGTGTTTTCCTCTGTCAGTGCCCATTACAGAACAGGTTCTTTATCCATGATGTAAGTTTAGCAGTGATTCTTAAACAACACTGGGGCATCTTGGCTGAAGTTCGAACCTAAGGACTAGAGCAGATTAGACAGCCCAAAACTCAGGAGTATTTCTTCTCTACCTGTGTGACTCCTGGTATGACAACGAATATTTCTTAGATTGATTCCAATGTCAGCAGACTATCTTGGACAACAAAGGAGCATATACAGCGCTGTCTACACTAGAAAACTCTCTGTTCACGAAACCCTGTTCTCTGTCAAGTATTGAATGTTGCACCATTTCTTTTTCAGTACCAAAGAAATGTCAGAAGGCTCGTGAACACTTTGGTACAGTGAGAACCCAGCTGGAATCCCTGAAGACCAAGTTTCCTGCTGATCAGTATTACAGGTGTGCAGGATCACACGCAGCCAGACACGGATATGGGAATTACCTGGGCATATTTGGCATCATTACTTTGGAAGAATGATTTAAAGGTTTATGGGCCGAATGCTTCTTTCTGTTTGAAAAGTAAACCATGGTAGAGAAGTGTGAGGTTTTTTGTCAGCATAGATAAAAAATGCTTTTGTTCAAACCCTCTATTTATAACTTTTCACTAAAAATATCCAGCATTTAATTCTTTTTCTAGAAACTTTTTTAAAAAAGAAAAAGGAAACTTTAAGAAATTTATATTCTATTGGAACTGCCCTTCTTTCTGGGAGCAGCGCATTTGCTGCTCCATTAATTTCAGTAAAGTTGTTAGGTTTGGGGCATTTCTGAAAACAGAGCTCTAAATCTGTCATGAAATGGCTGCTTGATACTGCAGATACTAAATGAAGTTGTCACCTTTGTGTTTTGTTGCTGCCAGAAGGGGACAGTGTCTAGCAAGAACATTTCAAAGAACAAGAATCTTGTCAGCTCAAATCTGTTGAGGGAAGACGGGAGGGAAAGCCCTGGTTGTCTTGTGGGCACGACAACCTGAAAAACTCCACAAACTGAGTAGGTGTGTGAGATGTGCAATCAATGCTAGTGTCCAGCATAGTATCCAGGGGGTGAAGTTCTGGAGTACCAAGGAGATGACTTTAAGCTGGTGTCATTTTGATAAGCCAAAAATATTGCAAAGTGCTATGTGTAAGGGTGGAAAACATAATATATACATAATGTATGCTTGTTGCCTAACTCTCCAGTAATAGATGTTACTTACTTATGCCTTGACTTGGTGTTTTCTTCAACAGATTTCATGAGCACTGGAGGTTTGTGCTTCAGCGGTTGGTGTTTCTGGCAGCATTTGTAGTCTACTTGGAGTCAGAAACGTTAGTGACCCGAGAAGCTGTCGCAGAAATACTTGGGAGTAAGTTAATGTTGTAACTGAAGAGAAAAAGCATGTGATGTTTTTAGACATTGTAGCTTTCAGAGGTACAGGGAAACAGCAGAACTTCATTTCTTGCCAAGAAACAGGTTCCAAAATTTATCTGGTATTTGATTTCATTATATAAACAACAAATTATTTTAGAAGGTGGAAATCAGCAAACCTAGTGTGAACAGAAGTATTTATTCATTAATAAGTTCTTCGTCAGTGAAGATTATTCATTCAAATTGCATAAATCTACCAAAAGGATAATACAAAGATGAGAGCTTATTTTTCTCGCTTTTGGCATTTTAAAACTGTGGAAAAAAGATTAAATTTTTATGCTGCAAGAGAATTGTGTCCTCCCAGAGCAAAGGATTTGAAAAAAAGATGAGGAAAATCTTTTTCTAAAAAAAGACTACAGCCCCCTCTCCTGTATATTGATGTAAATTCAGTTATTCTGTTGAATCAATTATAACCTGTTGCACATCCAGTTGAGGATGTACGAGTTGCTAAATCAAAAGGCTGACAAGAAGCAGTAATTGCATCACATACAGGAAAAGGCTGACTTTTATTTTGTAGTAGTATTTCATAAATTTGATATTTCAAATTAGCTCCAGTAAATAAATGTAATGTCAACTCGCTGGTTTTGCTCCTGTTTCGGTACCACCTGATTACCACTGTTTTTCATCTTAGTTGAAGCTGATCGAGAGCGGGGTTTTCACCTGGACATTGAAGACTATCTTTCTGGTGTATTAACTCTCGCCAGTGAGCTGGTAAGGAAGATATTCATGCATGTATTTGGATTGAAACTGACCTAAGAAAAAAAGTATTGTGTTTTCTAACTTTCCCAAGTTGTTCCTGGAAGTTATGACATGCAACACCTTGATCTGAACTTCTAGCAAACTGCCTCTCTGTATGCCAGAGTTGTTTCTCACTGATATTTTAAGATTTAAACTAGTTGCTTGATTGAAAATCCAGGATTGTTGTCAACAAAAAAAAAGTAGATCCAAGTATAAATAATCTGACTGCCTGGAACACAACTGCTTCATTTGGTAAAGTAACTGATGGAACAGTGACTTCATTGGGGTGGGTTCCTCTGCTGATGTTCTCCTGGGTGTCTTCATCTCGTAGGCCAGACTGGCAGTGAACAGTGTCACGGCTGGTGACTATTCTCGCCCTCTCCGCATCTCAACTTTTATCAATGAGCTGGATTCTGGCTTCCGTCTCCTCAACCTGAAGAACGACTCCCTGAGGAAACGTTATGATGGCCTGAAATACGACGTCAAGAAAATTGAGGAAGTGGTTTACGACCTGTCGATCAGAGGACTCAATAAGGAGGCAACAGTTGGTGTGGGTGGAGAGAAATGAAAGATGCCTATTTTAACAGCATCATTGATTACCTCAGATGGTTGCCAATTTAGGAAGCATGCTAGCGAAGCCTTCCTACAGTAGTTTAGAAGAACTGCAGCTGAAAGCTGCTCTCTATTTTCTTACAAAAGGTGTAGTACGGGTGTTAGATCTCAAAATGTTTTGTAAAATCATGTCTAGATTAGGGCAGGAGGCTCTGTTTCCAGTGGAATTCCTCTGTCAAAACACACAGTGCCGTTCTGTGCACAGCAGCAATAGCAGTCAGTAACTCCCATGAGCTGAAATTCTCATTAGTTCTGTAGTGTTGCTTCACTGCTCTGGCAGTGATGTGCTTCAGCTGTCTCTGTTCATGCACCTTTAAAGATGTGTGCACAGATGCAGCTCAGTGCAGATACATGTGAAGTTTTAGAAAACACAATGTGTAAATATCTATACATTTTTTAAGACACTGATTTTTTTTTGGCTTTTTGTTTCTTAAATTATCACCTATGTCAGTAAGTTGAACAGATTTGTGTAACTGTTTATTAACCAGACCTTTTTAAATGGCTTCTGTTAATGTATCCCCCTTAATTGAGAAATTAGTGAAAATATTCCTGAGAATTTCTCCATTGGAACTGGTGTATTGCACCTGGGCACACCTCTCGCTTTCTCTCTCCCCCCCCCCTCCCTTTTTTTTTTTACACCCCCTTTCCTTTCTTCCAAGATTTCTGTTGCCAGAGAGAGCAAGGTTTTCTCAAACATTTGCTTTCACTGGCTGGTATTTGTTTTACTGACATGAGTAAATGTTGAGTTTTAATATGATCATTTGCCTTGAGAACTCGGTATAACCAATTTTTTTTTTTTAACTACCAAGGTTTCCGAATAGAGAAGTGTTAGCTGATAAACTGTAGGTATTGTCTAAGTTTTAACAACCTATATAGGCCACAACTGTACCTGTGTCCTGGGTTTAAAAAAAAAAAGACACCAAAACTATCATTCATGTAGAAAAATGTTTGTATCTTCAGAAAAGGGGAAATTACTCATTTCAGATCCATTGCATGTAAGAAGCTTGCAAACACCAACAGCCTCTTTCATTTATGTAAATGGACAGACTCGTACCTCCCGGTGTGTTTGTTCTCTTGTCCTAAATGACTTTTGAGTTTTGCCATTCTTCTACTTCTGGTGGTGCAGGAGGGTTAAGGAGAAAAACTAACTTAGGAGGAGGAATATTTCCAGAGGATGAAGACAAACAGTCAAGTTTACATGGGGTTTGTTAGTGTTTCATTTTGTTAGCAAAGATTTCCCACCGTTTCAGTTATGGTTTTGTTTATTGGAAGAAAATGGTTTCTTGGTTATTTTGGCCAATAAAAGCTGTTCTTTGATTTTGGCCATTTGGTAACTCTGCCTGTTGTCTGATTATCTGTTGTTATTTGTTTCCTTTCCTGGGAGCCTACTCTGAAGTATGACAATTTAAATTCAGCCTTGAGCTGTACTTGGACAATAACAGAATTCCTCACTTTGGCTGTATGCTGTTCAATGGTGCACTCTTACCTGCTGGCGAGTGGAGCCTAAGTCAAGCTGCAAACAGATTTCATGGGCTTTTTTTTATTTTTAATTTTGACCTATTTCACCAAGTAAAACAGGAGAGATATGGAGGAATTTATCATTACCAAATCCAAGATGTGGCAAGATCCATCTTCAGAGCGTCTTGTACTCTCATGTTTGTCCTCATCCTTTGTATCTTATATCACGTAACATAGGGAGATGGTAATAACCCTCTCTCACAGCTGAAGAAAATGAGGGTCTAACTTCCTGAGCCCCACAGCAATGAGACCAGCTTTCAAAGTAGTTCATTGTTCTTCCCCTGTGGCACTGTTTGCTTCTTTCTCGCTTTAACCCTGTGGAGGTGGGAGGAGGGAAGGAGCTTAAGCCATTTCTGCTGCCAAAACCAGAGACTCGTGAAACAACACCCTCAGGCTCCGAGGCACAGCCATGCAGACCAAGGTCTCACAGGAAATGTGTGGGAGCAGGGGAATTAGAGAAAGGTTTCCTGAGCATCAGCCCGGTGTCTCTCAGGCTGGGGACTCCTGGCATGCGGAACTGGGATGTGAGGCCATGTGGTGGGGCAGGTTTCTGGTTGCAGGGCAGGTGTGTGTTGAGGCTTTGTGCTGGCTTGTGTCCCAGGTGCTCCAGTTGCATTTGATGATGCAACAGGTCTGCTTCCTGACATGGGATCCCATATGCGTAACGCAGCTTTTTGGTAGATCCTACATCTGCCAGCTCTTGCATCTTACATGGTTTCTGAGAGCTTGTGGAGATACAACAGTGCTGTGCCACAGGTGCAGCAGCACACATACTGTGGGAGGGACAACTGGAAGAGCAAGTTGCTTGCTTAGGGCTTGTAAAGTCTGCAAGGTGTGGGATCCTTCTGTGTAAGGCTCTGCGAAGAGCAAGTGCCTGAGAAAGAGACAAGCCAGTGTTGTGTTTCTGGAGGGTGTTTAGCAAACACCTCATTTTTTCCTGTTCCTAGGTTTCGGAGAGCCTAGCATCTTCCTCTGGAGAAGCATTGTTTGCAAGAGCCAGGCCTCATAGTGCATTCCCAAGCTGGGTCTGGGGAAGGGAAAAGAAAACCACAAACTTTCTCCCTGGGCTGCAGCAGGGAAGGCTGGGGACATGCTTTTTGTAGCTTCCTCTGCACAGAGGTAGCCTGTAGGACCTTGTGGCCTTGATTGTGAATCTGCACATTACTCTGGTCCTAAATGGTAAATTGTGTTTCTGTCCTGGAGCTGGGAGCAGAGGGAAGAAGGGAAGACCCAGAGGGCCTTAAGTAGGGAGGGTCTCTTCACTGACCCTTCCCTCTCCCAGGGGTAAGGTGAACAGGTTAGCCAGCAGGGAATGGCAGTGAGAGAGGGAGCTCTGAGGACTGCAGAAGCTTGATGGCTCATGATGAATCAGACGCACTTGAACTCTGAACAAGTAACTCCTGTTGGTACTGAATGGACTGTCGCAGCGTGCACTGGCAGCTGGGAGGGGAGTGAGTCAGCGCAGGAGCACTGGAGACTCTGACTCAACAGCCAGCACGGCTGAGCCACTTCAGCCTGAAGTGTGTTCCAGGGAGCGTTTTCTTGGATTGTCTTTGTATTCACTCACTGGTTTGGTTTAGGGGTTTTTTTCCCATCTTGACATCATTTCTGTGGGTTTTCTTTATTTCAGTAAAAAGGGCACTTAAAGTTGATTAACTGCTCTTTATTTATAGCACTGCCTATTCAACGCCTGCAGATCAATGAAAGTGCTGACCTGAAACTGTTTGGGGAAATAGGGGTGAGCAGAGCTCTGTGGTACAGGATGCAGAGTAGACGTTGGGGCTGTTGAACTGGGCTCTGTCTGTTGGAATTGATTAACTGCAGCCCCAGTCCATCCACCTCTTTCAACTGACACTTGTTAAAGGACACATTATCACTTCCAGACTGCCCGTTTCTGGTGCCAGCACAGGTCTTTGTGCAGTGAACTGGATCAGGAAACTGACCTAGCTGAAACAATTTTTATTTTTCAGCAGTGTTTGCTCCCAATCTGGTTCACTGCACAGTCCCGCACATGCTGTGCCAGTGTGTGGAGGGAGGCTTCTTCCTCTCCCTGCGGTGCCACCTTTAAGTGTTCACTGAGCTGTTAATGCTGTGCGGTAAACTGTCTGATTTTTCTTGCTTCTCGTTTTGTTGGGATTACCAAGGATTTTCTCTTTGGGTAAATAATTTGCCTTCATTTTCTGCGAAGTGATGACTTGGGTGCTATAGAGCCTCACTCGCATTTTTCAGCCAGTAAGGTCATTACACACCGAGGCAATTAAGGAGAGCAGAAAATGAACATGGATGACTCCTGGGGTCTCTGTGTGGGTATTGAACTGTTACTCATCAGCTGTCCATCTTCCCTCGTTATAGTACTGTCTGTTGCTGGATGCTGCGGTGCAACTGTACTAAAGTGTGTGTAGGGGCTGTTGAGAGAGCCTCCTGCCTGCTGAATTCATGGAGTGTCATTAAACAAGTGTTTGATTTTGAAAGGAATAGTCCGTTATGGTATGTATCTCCTGTACACATGCTGTGGGTCAGGTATGAATTCCTTGAAGATGGGTATCTCCTTGCAGGTTTCTCTGCCCATTTGTTTTCACTTCAAACGGCAGCATTTCTGGCTTGCTGTCATGGGAGGATTGCCCTGCCCAAGGGGAAAATGGCTGTCTGAAAACCAACCCTTTCTTGAAAGAAGAGGAATACACTCCTTGTCTGAATGCTTGTTCATCTGCACATTCACACTGTGAGTGTACAAATGTCTAACCTGCTCCTGTGGGGGAAAATGTAAGAACCTGCACCCTGCAAGGGTGCTGTCTGCTCCCCAGGAAGCCTGCTGGCTCCCATCCTGGTAGGGAGAGGTGTCTGTCTGCCTCTGGGTCTGCCCTGGGGCCCTGTGCAGCTCTTGCAGGCTTCTGTGAAGTCTGATGACCACCACAGCCTGCTGGAGACTTCAACAGGGACTGCAGAAAGCCTAAAGTGAAGAAAAAGCCTGAGATTTCAGCCCCTGTGAAATGGTCCAAGGCTGCAAATGCCTTGTGCTCTTTGCGTGGTTTGGTTACCCCAGCATCAGTCATGGGATCTGCTCCGTGACTTTCTTGTGACCTCCGGGTTCTCCACTCTCATCTGCCAGCCCTCCCCACAACACCCAGAGAGACATTTGATGTGGGTCCTCCCAAGGATGTGACTCTGGCATCACAAGGGAGGTTCCTGCGCTAGGAAGGAAGGGTTCAAAACCCCCTGGGGCTCCACTGCTGCAGAAAGAAAGGGTTCCTTTGCCTGCCTCTATACAGGGCACCTTCCCTGGGAGGGCTGTCTGCACTCTGGGTTGGCTCCTCTGCAGCTGAGATTGTTTCTCACAGATGCAAAGCCTGTGCCGGTGATCACACTGGGGCAGGATTTGAGCTGGAGAGTTGCAAATTATCATTATATTCACCCCTGCTAATGGGCCTAGAGCCTAATGCCAGCTTTTCAACTTCTTCCAGCCATGCAACTGCTCCCAGTCAAGCCTTGGCAGAAACCTGTGCTGGCAGATGCTCTGCTTGGGTTCTGATTCCTCATTAGGGTTCTTCACTCTCTGTTGAAGAGGACCCTCTATGTTCCTTTCACTCAACTTTTCCATCCATGTTGTAGAAAGGTTTCCCTTAGGGAACCACCTTCAGCTTCCTGAGGGAGCTGTCTTTTTTCTAATGAGTGTCCTTGGGACTTGCCTGGAGTTTTTGGACTGTGCAGTGTTATTGTCAAAACTTTGATTTTTTTTTTTTTTTTTTTAAATTGCTTGTACCTGTCTCCAGTCATATTGATATTCTGCAGCAGCCTCTGTGAGAAATAAGGCAGTTCCTTTGTCTGCCTGATCAGTAAGACTTTTTGCTCTGTCATATTCCACTGTAGTGACAGAAGGTCACTCAACGATGACAGTGAGATCTTTGAATATTTATCTGATCTCTGGCAGGAAGACAGTTCCCTCCATTGCTTTTGGTTCCAGGTTTTTCCAATTTCAAGTCAGAGGATGTCAGCCTAATTCCAGATGAATCTCACCTGGTTCCCCAGCATGCATTGAAGAGACATGGCTGACATCACAAAATGAGAGTTACTACAGCTGCCTCATCCATGAGCCCTGAAGGGATACCTTTGACATGGTGCTAGAAGATTTTAATTATCTTCCCTTTGAGCATGTCATGGACAAGCAGGAGAGTGCAAGATTCACCAGAATCTCCTGCTGGAGATCTGCCTTCCTAGGACTTCAGCTCCATAATAGATTCACGTGCATTGAATAACTGAAGTTCCCCAAGTCAGGAGATCTGAGATGAACTCAGAGCTTTTTTTTCAGGATTTGGGATGTGCTGAGGTCAATCTCTCAGCCTCCAGTGACAGCTATGATAGCTTCCTGCTGCCAGGCCAAACCTGTTGTTCCCTTTCAGACGTGTTCTTGATCACATAGTGGAGACCCACACTGAATGCCCCTTCCCACTCCTCGCTTCTGTTACGGACAACCAGGAATGTACAAGATCACCATAAAAAAGATCTCTGTTCACCAAAGCAGAAGTCTCTGCCTTCTAAAGTATTTGCTCTGCATCTCCATGTGGTTTTTTTCAGGCTTTCCCACCTAGCCTGCTGACTCTTAAAGTAGCTTATTCCTTCTTTCCCTGGGACCTGATCTCACAGAGGGCTCTTAATCCAGTGTTGTGTCTTCTTGCGCATCTGCCTTCTGAGCTCAAAACTACATGGACTCTATGACAAAGACTGCCTTTTGTTGTTTTCCTGGTAAATAACCAGTAAGAGTCATCCTAAATTCTTGTTAAAGGTCATTCTGATAAATCAAGGGAGTAATCAACTTTCTCTTTTTTTCCCCTAACGTGGTACTTCCAGAGAGGTCTGCTTGTACTAGCCGAGTAAATTCAGTGGGCAGGAATCTTGAAAAGTAATCTTAGTATTGTCTGTCATGACAATGGAGAGGCATAAAAATATTACGGAGCCCTAGGACGGCCAGTTTGGAACAAATAATTGCTTTCTTGGCTTGCAGACAACCCTGTTCCTAAGCACCCTGGGTTATAATAGCATTTTGTCAGGTTTGTTAATCAGAAATGGAAAAATACAGCACAGCTAATCTCCAGGGCTGCCAAGATGTGTACATGTGATACTGAAAGACCTGGAGATGCCCAGGAGAGGGATCATCCAGTTCAGAAAGGTGCCTGAGGATTATGGAAACCTACTGCCTTGTCAGTGTGCTGACACTCCTCACCCCTCCTGTGCAGGCTCACCCCACGGCACAAGCGTTGCGGGGCCGCAGAGGCTGTTCTGTGCTCGTGTTCCCTTTCAACACCTGTAATTTAAAGGCAGGTGAGCAGCTGAGTACACACCGGATACATAAAAGATAAATAACATTGGAAGCACAACCTCTGTCTAGTTTGACAGGTTCAACAATCAGGCTGTCACTTCCCATAGCAGGCTGTCCCAGATCAAAGAGCTTATTCTGTTCCCTGGCCACAGGTTTTTTAGGACAGGGCTACAGCAACAAGAACATGTCCTGCTCATAACTCAACACTCGGCGATTATTTATGGACCTTCTTTTGGGGAGAGTTTGCCTGGTTCAGAGGAAATACGTCGTGATTACTAGGAGCCTGGCAGGCAGGTGTTTCCTGTGATACCTAGAAAATCCCTGCATCTGACAAATTGAACAATCACCTAAACACAAGACTGATGCTAAATAGCAGACCTTTTACATATACTTATTGTTCTCTAATCTTTTTGAACAGCCAGGGTGACTGAAGGTATCTTGATTTAAAGATATGACTGCACAGAGAGTCCACGGCTGGTTTTCAGCATGAATTGATGTGGAAAAAATCACTGTGCTGGAAAGTAATTGAAAACTTTCCAGAAAGCCACAGCTTTCTGTGGCTGTGAAAACCACTCACTGTTTGGATAAATTAAGCTATTAGGCTTACTGTACTTACGCCTTCCCTTATCAAAACTGCCACTGGAGGTAATGAAGAGAAGGTAGCTGCGCCATTTTGATCTTGGGAGAGAAAACAAAGGTGCTACGAGCTGTTGCTTTTTGCATGTTAGGTGAACAGGGCTTGAAGTCTATTAGATGCAGATCTGTCATGACAGCATAAGAGAAATCTTCCTCCAGCAGCTGCTCTGCTTAGGCATCCATCTATTTGAAAAACAAACAACAAACTAAAAGCAATGCCTCATGCTCTTCACTGGCTATTCAGTACATATTTTGGGGGAACAATTTATTGTCTAACAACTAGAAATAGCTGGAAGGAATTCCAACTCACCTGAGGGAGTCGGGCTGCTGCCCCAGCAAGCATTTTGCCAGCTATTGCTTGCTACAGCGCTCAGCCGTGTGCTGCCACCCTCACATCTTGGGTAAGTGTTCGTAAAGCCTCCTGATGATGCAAAACCTCCCACTTCCTCAGGGACAAAATGAAGCACTAAAATGCTGGATGGTGCAGATGAAGAGAAAATCCAGCCAGCATGCACATGTCTCACTGCTGGTGTCTGCCTCAGTGCCTGGAGCAGCGTAACAAGCTCCAGCAGCTGTGGCAAGAGGACAAAGCACTGGGTACAGTTTGGAGGCCTGCTCAGATGTTGGGTCAGTGGTGACTTTACAAGACTAGGGCTACCTATGTGAGGGTAGCCTCTGTCCGCCTTCGTTTGCGCACTCACTGATGCTGGTTGATCTCTGGAGAAATTTGCTTGTGTGAATCATCCTGTAAAATAAATACCTGTAACAGAAATATTTTGTTGGTAGTGAATAATACTGATTGGCTTTGTCTTTACCCTGGGGGCCTGAAAGAACATTTACAGGCTGTCCTCCAAGATCCACCGACCAAGATTCAGGCTCCTTTAATTTAGCCTCTAGGGCTGTAATCTGGCCTTTGCTGTGTAAGTCACAGTGTGACATTTTGCTGATCTTGTAATCGCAAGGCCGCAGTCAGTGGTAATGTCAGGCTGAAAAGGTTAAACCCTGTGTGCCTTTTTACCATTGTTCAGCTTCAAGTCATTTCCCTGCTGAGGAACTGAGAGAGGCTGGACCTTATGGGGGAGCGCTTTGTGGCCTCAGTTTCGGCTCTCACATCTGGTCTGCTGGGGCCTGACCTGCCCAGGCAGGACTGCGGCCAGAGCTTAAGATTTTGTGCCAGTCTGTTGTTGTCTAGTGAGAATTAGGGTAGCAGGCTTGTACTGTTCTTCCAGTCTCATTAGGAGTAGCCCCTGAATTCTGTTCAGGAGATCCAAAGAACAGATGTAGGCACATTGTTCACCTGAATGCCACCCAGGCTAAATGAAATATCTACTCCAGAATACAAATATTTAAAAAAATACCCACCTAAAGTCATTGAAACATAATTATTAAAACCTTTTATGTTACTCTACAGTACAATGTAAATTGTTCCTTTCAATTAAATTCTGAAATACACTAGATTACATCATTTAAATAATTGCAAACTTTTAAGTTCACTATAAGTGGTAGCAGAGCTATATTTACATACACTTCTGAGATATTTCAGATGCGGCATTATATTCTAGTCCCTAAGTCAGTTAAATAACAGACTTTCAGTGGGGGTATACTGCTCTTCCACAGGTTCTACGCATATTTGGGGTGTATGTGTCAGAGAGCAAGAACTCCTTTTATTCTTGTTTGCTTTTTTTCTTTTGCTGTGTGCATGCAGCTGAATCTGAGCAAATTGATACCTACTTGATTTGGATTAAAGATGAAAGACCTTTCTTTTTAAACAAGTATTTTGACTGAATATACAGAGGTGAATAATGAAATACAGTCCTTAGGAGTTGCGGTGGAAAACGTAATTGTCTCCAACTTTCATCCTCTGTTGCATAATACTGCACCTAATTTTGACCCTGACTTTACCTAATGCTGATGAAATACAGTCAGTGGTGGAAACCTCTCTCATGTTGTCAAGACTGGCTTTCAACACAAACCATGCAATGGCAAGCATCATACATCATTCTCCTGCAGTGCAATATTAACAAGTTAAACTCAGTATTTTCCTCCAGAGATCTGCTCCTCGAGGGAAGCCCATCTCTGTATGTACATCAGCCACAAACAGGTTGTGAGTCCTGAGCCTGGAGACCAGAATTAGGCTGTGATGCTTGCTTCCAGTGCTGCTAAGAGTCTTTGTGGGCCAGGCTCCTCCCTGTGTTGTCCATGGAGCAGAGCAAGTTCAAGCCACCAAGGCTCTAGATGGTCCTTGCACATGGCACTGGTCAAGCCAAGTCTCCCTGTGTGTTGCCTGTGCAGGACTTAGGGCCTGGTGTGAGGGGTGCTGATCATGATGTTGGGCAGCGCGTTGCGCCGCTTCTTCCAGGAGCCCAGCTCCCTCGAGTACCGCCTGATCTGCCTGAACCAGTGGTGAGTCCGTGCCCGGTCACTGTCCCGGAACACAAATGCCTCCCGCCTGATCTCAATGAGTTCAAAAGTGTCATCGCAGTCGGGATCAGTGGAGACAATGCAATTACTCAGCCTCAAGGGCTCCCTGAGCAAATGGAACTTCCCATTATTTTTGTCCCTGATGAGTACCAGCACGGCGTCCTTCACAGGCCCTGGCTCGGCTGATTCCAGGCTGGACTCGGACACACGCTTCATGTTCACCAGGAGGAGGACCTGCATGTTCTGGAACTTCAGGGTCTTGCTGCCTTTTTTCACCCACTGGCCATCGGGGGGCTGGGCCAGCTGCAGAGACCCCTCCATCACAAATCGTGTTTCCTCCCGCAGCCAGCCTACAGTTTTGAGGGCAGTTTCTCTCATCTCGATGTTGATGACTTCCCTCTTCTTCTTGCTGTCCTGGCGAAAGGATCGGAGGGTCCACGTGTTCCCCTCCTGCTTGGTTTTCATGTTGATGTGCTCCAGGTGGGACTCGATGCGGCTCTTGGCCTCCCGCAGGCTGCCATGATCTGGGTGGTACTCAGTGGTGGCCTTGATGATTCTGCTGAGCAGCAGTGGGTACTTAGTGACTCTTTGCAAAGGGGCCATCAGGAAGGACCTCAAGTTCATCCGCCGCAGTGCTGTGTTGTCATTCTGGGAGACATTGAGGAATATTCTGCAGAGATTTAAGAAGAGAGAATGAAATGGTGGCTGTTCTGCCAGCAGATGCTGTAATCCTAAATGCAAATGGACAATGTGGTGCTGACAGCTGCTGACAGCACCACAGCCCCCCCTCTGGTTTTAACAGCCTTGTGAATTCTGTCTTCTCAAAAACTAACAACAATTTCTGCAGCTGTGTTCAGCTGCAGAACAGCAATGAGGTGCCTGGGACACTAGCATGTAACATCCTAGCAGTCTTCTGTTAAATCGTTGTAAAACAACGAGGGTGTGATCTTTCTCTGGTACACACTGACATAGGCCTGAGGCAGATACATCAGCTTATATCAGATTACATTCATTTGTAGCTCCTTTCATCATTAGATTACAAAGCACGCCAAACAAGAATTTGGTACTGCCATCATTTTAAGCTGTTGCAGTGAAGAGAAGTGACTCGCCTGATGCCCAATAGGGCTACAAATGGGAAATAAATTCAAATCATGCATGCTTCACACAGTGGCTTTCCCCAATGGAAATCCAAATCATGCTCTAGTGCAGCGACAGAGAGCTGTTCTCAGCTGGGTGTTACTTGGTGATAGTTCAGTGCAGTGGTCAGTGGGCAAATACTGCTATCACAAAATACAGTACACCACTGGGGACCAACTGGCTGCCTCAGTGGAGATGATAACAAGGATTGAATATCTTTTGGAGAATAAATTACTCTCCTCACTCCAGGAGAGAGCAGCTCGTCACTGAAGAACATTATCATCAAAACTTTGATCTAGTTGAGCTGCCAAAGGCTTCAGCCTCAGCCTGGTGCCTTCCTGTCCCCAAAACCTGGAAGAATACGCTCAGCCCTTTTCTCACCTGAGCAACTCTTTCTCCTTCTCCAGTGCGTTGAGCATATTCACAGAGGAGGACTGCTGAAGACAGTAGGTCTGAAAGGCTGGCAACATGTTGACGAACTCTAGAAACACTTCGCCAATGCACACGGTCATCAGGTCGTCATCACCCTACAAGCATGCAATACAGCCCCTGCTGGGTTAGTTCAGGAGAGGCACAAACACAGAGCCTGCATTCAGTCCTATCAGCATGCACCTACTGCAGGATCTGGTGAACACCAGACCAAAGGTGGATCTGGGCTCAGCCCTCCTGGTGGAAAGGCAGTCCCTGCAGGTCTGGAGGGAAGCAGTGCATGGGGAGGGGAAGGAAAGCTGATCTAACTGCATCTACACATACAGAGATATCTTTTCTGCTTCTGTGGGCTCAGCCAGCTCACCGGAGCAGGGGCTCAAAAGCCAGAGGCCAGAGTGAGCCTGCTAGTCAGGAGGGTGTAGTGGGGCCCTTCTGTAGAGCCGGCAGCTCTGCCATATAAATTAACAGCAAGTGTTTAAGAGCAAGTGGGCAGAAGAGGCATGTAACTCAACAGACATAGCACATAACTTCTGCAGCTGATCCCAGCAACTGGCCTGGCCAGGAAACAGTCTCCTTCAGTTATGCTCTTACTGGCTACTTTGATGCCTTAATGAAAAATAAATTTCATGGTAAATTGTTCTCTGATTTCTGGATGTGTAATAAAATAAGGGCAAAGTAAGAATCTGGTGCCACATGATGCTCTTAGCTTTGTCTAGGTGTATGCTGACATGCTCTGCAATCCCTACTCATTTGAGCAGTGAGAGAAGGAGCAGTTCTCTGGCTGCTGCAGCTTTTTGGTGCAGTACTGAGCTCTGACTGCAAAGGGCAACATGGAGGAGGAGATACAGAAACCCACAGCTGTTTGTAGAAGACATTTTCTCAATAAATTAAGCACAGGGGACATCACACCCACAGTGCGCATCTATCTTCACCGTGTCAGGTGCATGAGAGTGGTTGTCAAAGTTGCCAGTTTTTGAGACGTGTTGCTCAGTCTGACGTGCAGGGTTTCAGAGAGGGAAAGGAGGGATGTGTTTCCTAGAGAGCAAAACATCCTGGTGAAACTGATAAAGCAACAAGTGGGTTTTAGGTTTCTTGAAAAAAGGAGGCTGTGGAGCTGTTTATATGTCCTTTGGAGTGATTGTCTGCTGCTCTAGAGTCTTATTTCCATGTCTCTGCCATCTGACCACCATGCTGGTGGGACAGGGAAGTTCCTTGTGCAAGGCAGGGTGCATCAGTAGAAACAACTGGTACACAGAGCTGTAGGGGCCAACTGTCACCAGGGCAGGGGGCAGCATGTGCTGCTTGGCACTGCAGCCAGCCTAGGGGCAAGCTGTGATAAACTGCAACCCAAGGCAAATACACCCAAGCCAGCCTGAAGCAAGCCAGCTCAGAGTTGCCAGAGCGTGGCCTGTGAGCCAGATCAAGCTGAGCTCTGTGCCCCCATGGTCACACTCTTATCAGTGTCCAAGCTAACTGGCTTAAAGCTAACTTTGGCAATGGGACAGCTAGGTCCTGTTAATGGGATAAATGAACTAGACTGCTGATGGCCTGCTAATGTCAGTGGCATTACCACAGCAGAGAGTGAGGCCAGCAGCTGTGACCTGGCACAGGCCTACTGAGATCACTGGTTTACAATAGCTGAGGAAGCAAGGGACTAGGTAGATGACCAGAACGCAGGAGTCCTACCCCCTGATCCTCTGCTCCACCTATGCTGCCTCACTAATACAAAACCTATTCCTGTCTGCCCAGTCTGGCCCCTTTAGAGCATACAGTGTCATACCTGGTCAAAGGCCTGATCGATCTCTTCCTGGAGTATCTCCAGGAAGTTCTCGTTGAGATCAATGAGCTCCTGGATATTGCTGAAGATGCCCAGGAGCTGCTCCTGGCTCAGCAGCCCAGCTGCCTGCATGGGGAGGTAGAACTCCTCTTTGATGATGCGCAGGTCCTCTCCATAGCTGGCCTCTGTGTTGACAAACTCCAGCACAGACTCCTTGCGCTCCGTCCTGCGCTTGCGGCACTTCTCACAGAGGTCAGCCCGCCTCTGATTGCAGTTCTGGACATCCGTCTCCACCGGGAGCTCCCTTTCTCCACAGTCAGTGCAGGGACGGTGGGCTTCCCAGGCCTGCAGTGAGCTCAGCGTTTCGGATGCCCTGTTCCTCCACTTTCTGGCTGGCATCTGGCCAATGCCACTATCTGCCCTTGCCACATCCGTTGACTTGGTCCGTGTGGCCTCGCTGGGATCCAGGTCATCCCGGACATCGTTCACACCAACAATCCCACTGTCCGTGCTCAGGCTGCTGACATTGCTCCAATGATGTCTGGAGCGGAGGGAGCCACGTGGGGCACGGTGGGTCTCATCGAAGCTGCCACCATGGCCAAGGTTGGCTTTTGCTACCACTGGACCTGAGAACAGATACAAATCATTACAGGCATTGCCAGCTGTACAGAGCTTACCCGGGAAACTCAAGGTGGCACAGCCATGAGTGGTAGGAACTCTGTAGGAGGGGGAGATCTGGTGAAAGCAGGGCTGTTAGCCCTTCCTCCCCGCCTGTTCTGCTGCTGGGAAGGGCAGGGGTCAGAAGTAAATGGCTCCAGGGTAAAGCCTGGGGCCTGTCATCCCTGCACTGCCCATACCTATGAACTCATTTGGGCTCTCTCTTTCCCTATCATCTGCCAGTCAGGGACAGACACAGCAGAGTAGATCCTGATTTCTTGCATGCCTGGGTTAAACCCAGAATGCTTCCCTCCCCCAGGTCAGTAGAGCTACTCCATATTTACACCAGCATAGCAGGGCTCAGCATCTGGCCCATCAACCCCCTCTGAGTGTGCAGAAATGCAGATACCGTAGTCTCGCTCCTGCCGGCGCTTCTGTGCGTGCTGCCGTGCTGCAGCTGCAATCTTCAGCTCCAGCTGCTTCCTCTTCACTGAGTCTGTCGGCATAGGGTCACTGAAGTGTGGCCGCAGCCGGCACTCCCGCTGGGCCTTGGCACCATCCGTGCTCTCATGAACGATGTCAGAGCTGGATCGACGGCAGCCAGGACTGGGGGTCTGCAAGAAAAGCAAGTGGGTTTGGAGCAAGGAGGTGCTCAAAGCAGCGCCTGGTTTGCAGCCACTGGACTTCAGTTGCCAAAGGAGTGAAAAGGCAATTCATCAGCTGTGGAATTGTAAATGCAGCTCTGCTACATGAGCATTAGGAAATCTGTCACCCCAGGTCCCTCTGTCTTGCTTAGTCCTAACAGCAAGGACCCCTCTCCCTCTGCTGTTGTGTAGCTCCAAGTACCGTGGCTTCGTGGTGGCTGGATCACAGCTGTCAAATAACCATGAATTAGTCAACAGCATAGTCCTGGATAAAGGCCTAAAGGGGTGCCTAAGCCTGTCCTCCAAGGATCTGAGCTAGCTTGCCTCTGTTCTGTGAACATTTCAGTGCTGCAGGGTCAGGAACTCCAGCCTCTATGCCTTACCTACATTAGCGGTTTGACCAAGTGGGATCTAGGAGGGAGTCTGTGATCTCCTGGGCAGTCCAGCAATGAGGGGCTGGTGGCACAGTGAAAGCCATAAGCCGTAAAGGAGTTACTGCTGAACTCCCTGCAAGAGATGCAGCGGCAGACAGGTAGGGGCACAAAACTGACTCCTGTTTCATTAACTTAATAAAAAAGGCACTAGAAATGCTTCTAACAGAGTTTAATCACTCGTGGGAGTTGGTGTGATTTCAGATCCCAGGCTCCCAGTCTGCCCAGTTCCTACAATGAAGGGATCCTTTAGAGCTTCTGAGAAGAAAAAAATCCTGAACACATGCTCAAGATGAGAGGGGAATTCCTCTCCCTTACATTCCCTGCAGGTGGAGTGTCGCTGGATGTCTCATTGCTTGGCTTGTCCTCCCAGGTCTCTGTTGCCATGGACATCGCTGTGGGCTGCTGGCTGTCCTCCGGAGGTGGGAGATCAGCTTCCCTCAGATCACACTGTCCCTTGGAGGGGGATTTGGCAGCAGTCTCAGCATTGCAGCTGCAGGGGAAGAAGCAGACTCTGATGAACGTCATGCATACAGTTCACCTGCCATTCCTGACACAGATGAGACTGAGCAGCAAAGCCGAGGTTCAAAGAACCAGCTGCACCAGTTCAGGAAAAGTGCAGGCAGGAATCTAGACTGGTCAGCATGGATGGCTGTACATGTGTTTCAGGGGCTCTAAACATAGCTCAATTACAGCATTGCAAATTGGGTAATTGCACTCATGGCAGCATCAGTCTGGGATATCAAAACTCAGGTGTTCACAGGGCATTTTTGTGTCATAAAACATGAGGTTCTCCCATAGGGACCAGAAAAACCTTTCGAAGTAGGCCATATCCATATTTGCTGCTATTTAAAGAGATGTTGTCAACACAGAAACCATGTTGCTCATCTGGAAGAAAATCACCTGCTAAAAACCATAATACTCTGAAGAGATTAGAAGATTAAAGGAGCTTTCCCTCTGTTCTTCATCTCATATGATCCCAAGCCCATTGAAACCACTGGAAAGATTCCCTCTGCTTTCAGTGAACTCAGGATCAGCCCTTTTGGTGCACTTAAGAGTCCCAAAAAGACTGGCAGAGTCTGTTGTTCTCACTTGGCAATTCTGGGATGCTCTTATTCACAGCTGTCTGGTGCTAACAAGGGCCTGGCCTAGCTGATAGAGGCAGCCTGTTCCAACCCCATGTTCCCCTCTCTGTAGACAACACCACCTCTCCAGACAGACGCAGTCTGGTACAAAACCACTGACTTGACAGAGTAGTTGGCAGGCTGTAGTTTGTGATATTACTTGTGATACATTTTTTTTTAACAGACTTTCTAAGACACCTTATTTCCATGCATAATGAAGCCTGCTTGGAAGAATATTAATTTTTTCATTTTGGGTTTACTTAATTTTTATGGGCTTGGATTCCTTTAAAAAGAAAGGTTGTGAGGACTGGATATGGATGCTTGTACATACAGGAAGCCAGTGTCTGGAACATATTTCAGGTTATGCATGTATTTTATGCTTAACAAAAGTCTCCTATGACGAAAGTCTGCTTCTTCTTAAAGGCTTCATTTGTGAACTTATGCTGGTAGGTCATACTGCTAATGTGCAATTCTAACACTGTCAGCTACAAGCAAACACATGAGACAGATGGGCATTTTCCTTACAATGCATGACAGTTGGCTCCGATAACAAGCCATCAGCCAATAGTGAAATCGCTGAAGAGGCAACAAATCTCCCAGAACACAAACCGGCTCTGTTGTCAAGCCAGAAAAGTTGGTTTCAACTTTCCAGCTGATGCTTTTTCATCTTCGTTTATGCTTCCAGGTCCCAGCTGACACTACCAGAGAATTTACCAACTTTAAAAGAGTGTAGCCATGGCATGCAGCAATGACACAGTGCTAACAGCAGGCTCCTGGCTTTTACTTTTTGCTGTGCTAACTCCTTGCCACATGGATTTGGAAGCATCGCTTCATCCCCTCAGGGCTCTGCTCCCCAGCCTGTACAAAGGGGATACCAACATCAGTGCTGTCATGGAGCAGTCTGCAGTACAGACTGCATTAGCCCCCTTACAGGCTTGCAGTAAGAGCAGCGCAGGCACACAGCAAGGCTGTGGTCCTACCATGGTACTGGCCTGGCCTGGTCCAGCTTAAGAGGTTCCTGTCTCCTTCCTCCCTTCCGTCCCCAGCTACATTTGGAGTACCACACCTTCAGCCAGTCCAGTGTAACTGTCTGTGTGCCCATGATCTAAAACCAGTCTTGAAATCATCTGGGTTTAAAAAACATACCCTCCCTCATGTACTGCCAGCCAGATAATTTCATTGATGTTTCATTGAGTTGGGTAAAGTATGAACAGTTCAGCTGGGCACACCTGTGGGAGGGACAGCAGAGGTTAGGGAGCAAGAAAGCTCTTGAAGAGGATCTGCCATTGCCAGAAAACCACCATTTTCAAAAGCTGCTCCTACTCAAACAGTTTCTGGTTGAAATGTGCAGAAAGAAGGGACCATGCTGAGGCACAGAGAGGCAACAGGATGTGTCCAAGGTCAGTAGCAGAGCTCAGAACTGGAATATTATCTTCTCCTCTTGATCACCACCATACGGACCATAGTCTCAGAGGGAAGCTGAGCTTTCATTTGTCATTTTTACAGTGCTTCAAGATCATCCACTTAAACATGGAGAGTACTCCAGAGTATATTACTGCTCCTCTAAGTGAAGCTGACAGCAGCTCTCTGCTGATAAGGTCTGCGGACCAGATGCCATTGCTTATTGTGGTTTCCATAACCCAACAGGGATATTTTTTTAAAATCTCCACGCATGACCTGCAGCAGGAATAAGAGCCAATACTACCCAGAGAGCTGAGCTAAGGAAGTGTGACTGGAGACTGAGAAATTCAACCCACCCCATGGTTGGTCAGCTAGAGGTAAGAAAGGCAATGATGCAGAGCCCACATCATGTGAAAGGAGACTTCCTCATCCCTGGTTTGACTGCTCTACTTCTAGTTGCGATTAGATCCCTCCTGCATGATGTACTGGCCATGCCATGTTGGGGTAAGTGCTGCTCCACAGAGCAGTCACTGTGCACTGCACTATTGTCGTGATCAGAGGGATGTTGACAAAACAGGGAGGATATAAGCAGTTTTGTAGAACCAAAACATAGGGCTGCTCCTTTAACCTTTGCCCCTGGGTTAGGAGGAAGAGGAGACATTGCCAAGAAAACGGGATATTGTCCCTTCCTCCAGATCCTCTCCCCCTGGCAGAGATCTGGGCTGCCAGCATGACCACCCCAACACCTGCTCAAGCCATCCCCTCTGCTCTCACGCAGAACTGCAGAAGGGGGCAGTCTGGCATGTTTCCGTCTGTGGGATCAAATCACTTATGGGGATAGGATTTTTCTGCCTGTTTTCCCTGTTCTCTCCAAGATGGACGGTGCGCTTGGGCCAGCACAGGGACAACAGGTTCTTTCCGAATGTCCTTTTAAACCTCTGGGCCATCATCTCTGAATCTCATGGAAGCAAAGGCAGTGGGTGTGTGGTGTACAACTGGAAATGCACCTGCTTTGCTTCATGGTCTCTATGGGCCTCTTCATGGTTGTTTCATTGTCCACGCCAGCAGTTCTCAGCCCTGTCCACACGTTCCTGGTTCTTTCTGACCAATGGAAACATTTTTGACCATTGCTGGCACCTGCCTTCAAGACTTGGAGTCCTCTGCTATGAGAAGCTGTTATTGTACCCACCATCCTGGTGTCATCCCAAATACACCCCATCACTCTTTTCAGGAAGCCTTCTTTCTTAGTCATGTCCTTGGCTTCCTTGTGCAGGTTTTTATTGTCACCTTGTCCCCCATTTCATAGACAGGAACCCCAAGTCCTTGCACGTCCTTATCCTGAGCAATTAGCTGCTTAAACAATTTCAGAAATTGGACTATTGAAATGCCTACAGGACTTCCACCTAGATCTGAACACCCCTTCCCACCCAGGACTACAACCTAAGTTAAAGGTATCCAGTGACCTATGAGGGGCCTAAAGCCACCATAATTATGAAGCTGAAATTCAAATCTTCACTGATGAAATATTAAGCCATTTGAATGAGTCTTAAGTAATTAACTATTAATCACTAGGGAGGCAATTAACTTATCAGACAAAACTGCTTTGTAAAACTGTAATACTTACACAGAACCACTAGAAAGAGAAGACAATTTCAGCTATCTTATTCTGTGATGCTCCATCACAACATCTCTATCAAAGGCTTGCTGAGCTCAGTATCTGGAAATGGGACCAAATCCCCAGCTTTCAGCTCATTTCATTGGAGACTTGGAGAAAAAACATGGCCTGGATGTCAGTGATCATAATTTAGGACCCCAAAACATCCAGAGAAAAAGTCTCCCACCTCTGCAGTGAGAATCAGCTTGAGTTATAAATAATATTCAGGCACATTGCAGTCTCAGGTGAAAACCATGGAAAATAATTGAGAAATTTCCAGACAAAGGAAACTAGAGTTTCCCACTAAACAGTACTCTGGCACTGCCAACAGATTTGTTTTCCTCCTGCTGTCCTGAAGAAATTACAATCTTTATCATTAATTGTTATTACTATGGAAAATATACAGGCCAGGGTGGTTCCTTCACATGAAACAACTTCTCTAATACTGGAACCACTGTCATTCTCATTTCTAGATCAATTACCATTTTGGTGTTAATAAAATCACCTCATATATTTTAACAAATCCAACTAGGGAGACTGAACACATTCACAGAAACACAAACCACTGTGGATATTAAAAGCACAGAAACCACACTGAAACCATAAAGGCCCTGGGCAGAAAGTGTTTGGAGGCTTGAAAAGTAGTGGGAAGAAAGATCATATGCACCACCCATTTCCTGTATACTTTGCTATGCATGCACCTTGGGCTCCGGATACTAGTCAAACCTTTCACCTGCCCGGAGACAGCTGTTCTTATGCTCTTACTCATGGCTTGTGCCATTCTGTGTACTTCATTTCACATCAATGATGAAAATAGCCTACTCAATGAAAATGGTTGTATACTGTAACTTTCTCATCTGTTTCTTCTTTGGGTTTTCATACTCTAGAACAAAAGCACAAACGCTGGGCTGGACAGCTGAAGGAAGCATTTAGGGCTCTGACACCACCTACTTCCCTTTGGATTGTAAAGTTGCAGAAGTACTTCTGCTTGTCTCTCTGGCTCTGTCTACACGGGGAGCTTCAGCTCCACAGAAGTTCTTTCAGATGACTCTCATTCCTGTGCAGAAGTCACTATCATCTCCTCTAAAACCTGAGTCCAGTCTCAGAGCTCCAGCATTCCAAAAATACCAAACCAGTGTACAAGGTTGCTGCCCTGGCATTTCACACACCGCATCTGTGGATGTCGGAAGCAGCCAGGAACCAAGTCAAATGTAATTCTTTGCAAAGCCAGTCCTGAAAGCCAAGCACATGGAAACAAACCACTCCACCAACACTTGCTCCTCCTTTTCCCATCAGCCTTATCTAGTGATAAGACACTGATAACAGCCCCAAATTCCTAGCTTCTAGAACTTTGCTGATTCCTGTTGAGCCACC